GGAGATCATGGAGTGAACGACTGTGTTCTGAGCTGTGCTGACCTATGTGGGCCTGGGGTCTCTTGTCCCTGGCAGGTGCACCTGTGCCGCCGGCAGCTACACTCTTTCCAGAACCTTTCTCTGCCCATCCCACTGGGCCACCCAGGACTTCCGGCTTGCTCTGTCCCTCTGATGGTGTCTGCTTTGAGCCCCAGGCTGCCCACCTCTTCCAGCCAGCCCCTCCCAGGGCTAACAGCCAAGGGTGCCCAGGTAGTGCTGATCCCATAGGTCACCTCTGGGGGTGGGTGCAGAGACCCTGCCAGCAGCCTGGCTTCGTTCTCCCTCGGCTGCTTTAAAGAAAGCCCTCTGCCCCACCCCTGTGGTCTCCCCACACTGCCCCCTACAACTGCTACAACCCAGCCTCCAGAGCCGGGAGCACAGACAGGACCTGCCACTCACAGGCCTCGCTCCTCACGGTCCCTGCAGCCTGAGGTTCCCAGGGCTCCATGTGGCCTGCATGTGCACCTGATGGCCCATGGCCTCTGAGCCAGATCCACCTACACACTTGGCCTGCAACTGCTGGCCAGTGATGGCAAGGCCACTCCCCAGGCTCCTGCTGTGGCCTCGTCCTCAACTTTGCACTTGACGCGGAGCTTCAGAGCTCTGGCCTTGACCTCCAGCTCGCCCCAGACTGTGCCTTGGACTTGGTCCTTGGCCTTCTGTGCTCGGGGCCAGCTCTGATGGGCTGCCCAGACCCAATTCAGGCCTCTTGGGACCCACTTCCCTTGGTGCTCAGTGCTGTGGACAGAGAAATTGAGGGGCAGCAGGCTGCTCTCGGGCAGGCCATGTGCCCCGGGCGCCTCTTTCCCGCAGCACCACGCCAGATCCCAGCAGTGAAGATGGCTGGCATAGAAGCTCCAGCGCCTCCTCCGCCCCATCCAGGTCTACCCTGTCCCACACCAGGCCAGCACAGGAAGCCTCAGGCCCAGAATGTGACAGAGCCCAGAGATGTACTGCAAATCCCTGCAGAACAGGAGTCATCCTTCACACGACATCTCAATTCTCTGCAAGCTGTGCGGAGCGACTAGACGTGGCACTTCCTCAATGCGAAACATCGGGGGCAGAGCCAGTGCCTCCCCTCCACTGAGTGCTTCCTGCCGTCCAGACGTGGGGCAGCCCACGCTGCCACGCGAGGACAAGTGGAAGCATCCCAGGACACAGCTGGCCTCCTCTCTCTGTGATAGAGCATTGCACCAGGCTGCATCCGTGGGGTGGGGAGTGGGGGTCTGGGAGGGACAGGGTGCCTGGGTGCCCACCCTGGCCATGGCCATGGCCTTGGCCTTGGAAAGAAACACATTCTCCTCCTGCTTTTCCACAGGAGGTTGGCGGGGGGTGGGGTGGTGGTGGGAGTTCCCCAGGGGCCGACTCACACGCACCTGTCGCTGATTTCCAGGCCAGTGCAGAGCAGGGATGGGGCGCACTGCTATCAGTCACAGGGCCTGGGGAAGCAGCGGCAGGTGTGGGTGGTGCAGGGGCTGCCCTGGGTGCAGTGTGTTAGTGACAAGGTGGGGAGGGAAGACCCCTGCCCAGCGAGAGGGCGCTTGTCCCCCAGCCCTGCAGTACTGAGTTCCCCCTGGGGCTTGGGGCTGAGGATGGGATCCTGGCCTCTGCTATGTGCACCCCCACCCCCAGCATGCCTGAGCCTCGCAAAGCACCCTGGGACCTGCTGCGGGTGTGCCAGGGTCTAGGGTGAAGCTGGCACTGAGATGGGCCTGGCTCTCTAAGGCACCAGCTGCCGGGCATCGGGGTGGAGTGGGGGGAGAGTGGACCACCCAAGGAGCCTACACTGAGGGCCTCCTCCATTCCCTGGAGCTCAAAGCCAGGGTGGCCACCTGAGCCTGCCCATCAGCAGAGAAAGGCCAAGGCACTGGCCATCTTGAGAGATAGCGGACAGAGGAGGAGCCCCAGACCCAGGCTGAGGCTGGGCAAGCCCCTGGCAGCAGCAGCACCTCCAGTGAGACCCTTCCCACACAGCTTCGGTGTTGTGTTTCTTCTAAAATGGAGAGGAGCGGCACTGTGGCATAGCAGGCAAAGCCACCACATGTGATGCCGGCATCCCATATGGGCACTGGTTCAAGTCCTGGCTGCTCTGCTTCCGATCCAGCTCTCTGCTATGGCCTGGGAAAGCAGTAGAAGATGGCCCAAGTACTTGGGCTCCTGCACCTGCATGGGAGACCTGGAAGAAGCTCCTGGCTTCGGATCAGCCCAGTCCTGGCTGGGGAGTGAACCAGCAGACAGAAGACCTTTCTCTCTGTATTTCCCTCCCTCTATAACTCTGCCTTTCAAATAAATAAAATTAATTAATTAGTTAAAAAGGAGAAAGAAAAAGGGACAGTGTCGCTTAGTAGAGCGGATGGCGTTGGTAGAGGCCCATGGATTCTCTGCGCATACATGCTGGGGTCCTTGTCCCTCCCTGGAATCCTCTCGCTGAGGCCTGCCATGCCCCCCCCCCGCCTCGCCCCGCCCCACCCCAGCCTGTGTTTGAATCGTGTGCCTGCGCTGAAGCCAGGCCTCCCCCTGCGCTCACACCCTGTGCCCTGGGATTGGCCGGGTTGTCCCCCCAGCGTCTTCTGTGGAACAACTCCTCCACTTCTTTCAGCACCTCCAAGGCAGAGACACAGGCCCAGAGACGCCCAGTGACCTGCCCAAAACAACCAGCTGATGAGCAGCAGAGCAAGGACTTCCTGCAGCGCTGCCAGGCCCCGGGTCTGCGCGTGGACCCCAGGGGCTGGCCAGCCAAGGCGTGCCTAAAACCCTGGGTCCTCTAAAGGCTCGGGATTCTTGCAGCTGTGACGTTTGGGGGCCTAAAGGGGCCCATACTGAGGGCCTTGGACATATTTTTCCGAAGAGTGAATTTAGAGACGCTCCCTGGCAGCCTCAGGGGTTCGGAGCAAAAGTTGCCTCCAAGTGAGGTCCTCTTGTGCCAGCCCCCTCCCACCCCCACTTCTGGGCTGGCAACGGCCCCTCCCTGTCCTGTGTCTCTCTGGGTGCCAAAGGGCAGCTTAATCCACTGTGCCTTGGTGCTGGGCCCCCTTCATTGCTTTTTTTTTTTTTTTTTAATTTTTTGGCAGGCAGAGTGGACAGTGAGAGAGACAGAGAGAAAGGTCTTCCTTTGCCGTTGGTTCACCCTCCAATGGCCGCTGCGGCCGGCGCATCGCGCTGATCCGAAGCCAGGAGCCAGGTGCTTCTCCTGGTCTCCCATGGGGTGCAGGGCCCAAGCACCTGGGCCATCCTCCACTGCACTTCGGGCCACAGCAGAGAGCTGGCCTGGAAGAGGGGCAACCGGGACAGAATCCGGCGCCCCGACCGGGACTAGAACCTGGTGTGCCGGCGCCGCAAGGCGGAGGATTAGCCTAGTGAGCCGCGGCACCGGCGCTTCATTGCTTTTAAAACAAAGTCAGTCCATGAGCCTAGGTAAGCCCACCACGTGGGACTCAAAGCATCTGAGCCATGGCTGTGGCTCTTCCACTGGTTCCAGAGCGGGCTGAGGCCTCAACCCCGCCCCTGCTCCTTGTAAGCCAGGAGACCTCGGGTGAGAGCGCCTACTGTGTAACAGGGGAACAGTGGGCCTCACAAGGCCATCAAGAATGGGGAAAATGGCGAAATTAAGACCCCTGGCTGAAAACGACCCCCATTGTCCTGGTATCCTACCTGGCCCCCACGGGCTGGGCTCTCCCCCGCCCTGGCCACCTAGCTGGGACTGCTGATGTGACTGTCACAGCTCTAAAGCATTCTCCCCAGAGGCCCGCCGACTTCCAAGCGGAGCCACCCTGCTCGGTCCGTAGTTAGCAGGAGCTCCCAAGAGCCAGGCACCTAGGGGACAGCCGGTGACCTGGCTGCTTTGTTAGCGGAAGGGGCATTCCTGTAGCTTCTGTCCAGCACGGCCCCGGCTTCCCCTGGCCCCTGCCCTCCGCAGCCCCTGGGTGCTCACTGAGGGATTAGCAATAGCAGCAGCAGCCAGAGGACGCCTCGACCATGGTGGTGGTGGGGGGCGGGGGGCTGCTAGGCTGTCCGTTCTGTCCCCTCTCGGGCTTATCAGTGGTCCACAAGCAATGCTTGTGCTGGAATGGGCTTGGGCGGAAGTCATGGGCCACGGATGTCACAAGCTGATTAAAGCCACCAGGGGTCACGCCCCAGGGGGCACACTCAGACTTTTCCCTGCTCCCTCTCCGTTATGACACTGCAGAGCACCTACGGGCTGCAGGCTGAGAGATCCCCACGTGGCCCGCAGCCGGTGAGGGTGACGGGGACAGGTGCTGCCCAGCCCAGTGCACACAGGGGGTGCCCCGTCTGGGCCCAGCAGCCCCATCCCAGAGGCAGCGCCTGGCTGAGTGTGGAGCACATCCCAGTGGCTGTCCACTTCAGTGTCCTCAGCCTTGAAAACCGGAAGGAGAGGACTAGGGGCGGATGTCCCATGCTGATGGTGTTGCATGACAATCTGAAATCTGAGGCTCTGAGACACTCTCAAGGTTCCCCTGTACGCTTCTGTCAACAACAACAAACGGCCCTGGCTGGCGCACGGAACAACCAGGCTCTGGGGAAGGGGATCCCGGCGCCCGGCCAGCACACACCTGCCCATGGCACCGCCGAGGACACATCCTCGCTTGCCTATGTGCACTTGTCCGGGTCGGACCCCGGACTCAATTCACCTTGCACGGCCCCCGCACACTCTCGGAACCGAGTTCACTCTCCCACGCACGCACACCTGCTCTGGAGGGGCCGGCCCAGGGGGTCCCAGTCCACTTTCCCGCGCACTCCCTCGAAGCCAAGGCCACCTTGGCGCGCAACTGCCCCGGGCACCCAGCCGGCCACAGCGCCAACGCTCTCCAGGCCCGGGACGAGGAGGAGGGTGCGGGCGGCGCCGGCCAGAGCAGCGGCGCCCCGGACTACTTTTCGCGGACCCTCCGGACGGGCGGAGGGATCCTCATAGGGCGCGCGCGGAGGGATCCGCATAGGGCGCGCGCTCGGGGGGCGCGGTGCCGGCGACCCGGGACAGTGCGCCTGCGCCGCCGCCGCCGCCACCGCCGCCGCCGCCGGTCTGTCCGCGCGAGGGGAGCCGCCACCGCCTCGGCCCGGCGCCCACCATGGCGCAGATCCTCCCCATCCGCTTCCAGGAGCACTTCCAGGTGAG